CATTCCTTTTTACTTCTCAGAAGTCTTCTGCCATATCTTCAGAGGAAAGTGATCAGTGTTTTTTTGGGTGTGGGTTTGGATTGTTTTTTTGCTTGTTTTTGAGGCAAAACGTTCAAACATCTTTAACAGCAGTTTACCACAAGGAACACATTTTTATAATGAGTAGCTGAATGTGTGTTAATGCCTTGCATGTTTCTAAAGGCAATTTGAAATGAGAAGTTAGCAGAAGCCATTTTAATTTTCTTGGTTATTTTTGTTGAGATGTATAACATGAAGTATTTTTAAGATCAGTCTTTTTAAGCTAGAGAGATCCAGTGTTGAATAATACACTTTGTAGGTTAATTGAGAGGGTTTAAATAGCTAATGCTGTAGTTACACAAAGCTGCAGAAGAAGGCTGTTTCTCAAAAGCTATATTAACAGCATATATAGTAAGTGGGGAGTCCTGGTATGTAAAGTAGGGAATGGGTTGAGTACATTCTGATTTTGGTGTTTCAGGTTTTAAGCAATTTATATTTAAGCAATATATTCTTGACGAGGTGAGAATACAGGTATTTTGTTGCTGTTACAAAGCAGGAGACATGCTTGATAGTTCAGTGCTCCTTTCAAGAAACGACTGCCACTACTTAACTGTGCCGGAATTGATTTTGCTAAGCCTAAGCAGCTCAGTGAGACATATGTATAAAAATGTTGGTATCTGATACATTTCTGATAATGAAGTTCTCTAAGAGCTAGATATTCCAACCAATATTCTACTAGTGTAGTAGTATAACAGTATACTACTAGCACAGTATTGCAGAAAGACTAGTCTTAAAAAAAAAAAAAAAAAAAAAAAAAGTTTTATTTTTAGTAATTTAGTTACATTTCAAAGTTCTACCCTCTCACACAGAAACATTTTTACAACATTAGATAGAACTGTGCATTCTCTTAGCCTGAGATGATTTCAGAGTTATGGATAAGACTGAGATCATGAGTGAAATTTCCTTCTTCTGTTCCAAGACTACTATTTCAAATATTGGAAACTGAATATATATTTCTATATTCCATAAATATTTAAAGATTGAATTTGGTGAAACAGTCTTGGGGTTCTGGCAATTAAGTGCAGATAACACGCGACTAGAATGTCATTAAAATGTTTTGTTTCCTTTCCCTGTAGTGATGAGTAGAGAAGAAAAAACAAATACCCTGATCTCACTTCACTCAAGTAATGTGGGAAAATGAATGATCAAGAAGAGCAAAAACTAATAAAGTTGAGATACTTTATATGAGTGGTCAATAAAACACAGGTAGTGCTTGCATGAAATGGCACACCCTGCATTTAAATAGGAATTTAGAATATATATACAGCCTTTTTTTTTTTTACAGTGCATTTATACTATGTGCACTGACTCTATATCATTTATGTGCCTCCATTTTCTTCAGTCTTGATGGAGAGAGAAGCTGGAAGTCTCCAGGAATGTGCGGTTTTCCATGGTGTTCTATTCAAAGTCGTTGTCAGAGCATGTGGATTGTTTGTGAACAGTAAACTGAAATGTGACTTTGCATAGAACGTAAGCTTCTTCAAATTTGTGCTTCTTTACTTGACTGGATTTCTTTGTTCTTAGAACAGTTTCACCGTAAGTATTCAGAGGAAACTTGAAAGTAATTTTTTTTCTGAAGAAAAGAGGTATTAGCTTAAAAAAAAACTCTAGTCAAATAAATTTCCAAGGCCAGTAAATATGCAAATTGATTTTTCCAGCACCGTTTGTTCATAAGGAAAGTAAAGTTCTTGAGGTTAAGCAGCAGGTATGATTCTGAGATCCAGAACTAGCTGCTGATTTTGTAACAATTACTGTGGTACAGCAACACAAACTCCTTCATTTCATATGTGTCCCAGGTCCTTGAAACAGGCTTTTCTGCTCAAAAAAGTGTTTCTGGGACCACAGGCATTTATGATGCCATCAAGTGCTGTGGCAATGGTATATATATTTCATACCCAGATATCTGTGTTTTAGAAGATATAATGTTGCTCATTTTACTTTTTTTTCCCCCAATCTCAGTTACACAGAAAACCTGTGTTTTACACAAACCTTGTCAGGGCTGTTCTTATCATTGAGACAATATTTTAATATGTTGCAAAATGCGAGACATTGAAGCCATAAGATTATATCATCAAGATTCAAAGTATTAGGTTACAAGTTCCATGATTTTCTAGAAATACACTGTTGTCATGTTTTTAAACCTGTTTGTAACAGGAAAGCAGTAATTCCTTTACTTCCAACTTAACACCATAGCCACAGAATTTTGCTTAAATTTGGTTAGAGAACGAATGATGCCTATTCTGATTTATTTAACTGGAAGAAGTGAGAGTGAATTAGTGTTGCTTCTCTTCCTTTCATTTATTAGATTTTTAAAAATACTTGTTTGAAACAAATGTATATATTTTTTGCATGAAACGTAATTCAGTATAAAACTTGATCACTTGATACTAACATCCTAAATCAAGAGAACTATGTTTTAATATTCTTCCACTTATTTGTGCAATCTTCTACCCAGTGAAACCTTACATTCTGTACAGAACCTTTTGATGCTATCATAAAAATATAATCAAAACTGTACATAGTGTTATCATCGTTTTTTTATGTACTTATATATGTTATGTATTTGTAGTTCAGTAGTTAGAGTTACTAAAATATAATTCCCAGAGATTTAATAATATTTTTAACAATAGTTTCATTCTTATAAAAGCTGTTGGAAATAGAATTTAACTTTTTGTTAGCACTGGTTGTCTTTGCATGAATGATAGTACTTACATTTGTTGCTTCAGTTCTGCAAAAGGGTATCTAACTTTTACTTGCCAAACACAGTGAAGTCTCACTCAATCCGGTGTGAAGTTTTCAACTTTGTCCTTTGGAAGCCAGCTATAATAAACTCCATGAGTTTGTCATTGATTTAAGTTCAAAGGTGATCAGAAGCTATGTTTGTATAATATCTGCAAGTGTGGGATTTACACTCTGAAGAAAAGAACATTTGATATGTATTTTGTCACTGAAGTTATGTTAAATGTGTAAGTAACACATAACAAAGATCAGAGCACTGCCAAGCAGCCTTTTAAAAGCTTAAACCTAGATGACTGATTGTTGAAACTAAGCTACACAATAAGCATTGCCCACAGTAACTTGAAAATTGTAGATGTAGGTTAAACGGAACAGCTAGGATGGGCTGCAACAATTGTAGTATCTCCATTTAAAGACCTGAGAATCAGTTTGTCCATATGAAAAGTCAGAGCCGTTTTGAGATCTTTTGACAAATACAGTTATAATGTGTAAATTTCAAGGTGTGGGTGTCTTAGTTTTCTCTCCACTGCAAACTTGCTGACCTATGTAATTTTGAGTGCCAGAGTATTTGGCTTTTCCATTTTTAGGTGAACCACCTTCATCTTTTCAGGGTCAAAAAGAGACTGCTAGTCTTCCTAATCCCATAGTTGGTGCTTGTCTTATGTTCCATGGTTGGTAAACAACATTCTGACTCTTCTGATCAGCTTTTAATCTTGCCAGTATAAAAATTCTGTCCTTCTGATTTTGTACAATGCTTTATATTAGGGTTCTACCTAATATTAATGTCTTCTGTAGTCCTTCCCTCCCCCCAATAACATTTCTTTGTCTATTCTTTCTCATCAGTCTATCCTAATCTGTAGCAATTTGGGAATGAAAAGCTTGTCCACCTTTTTCCTCTCCAGGCTTCTATGAACTTGTGATGTTTCAGTTGCCTGCTATTCTATTTTCTCCACCTTCTCTTTCTCTGGTTAAACCCACAAGGGTCCCAGGAAAGGTCCCCAGTCGTTGCCACTCTAAGCATTATAACATCTAGAGTGGAGGAGAGAGAACATTCGTGCTGGGGATGGGGCACCATCAATTGGTGCTACTGAGAGGAGAGCACTGGGGGACAAATCATGTGTGTCTTCATTCCAATGGGCACACGGGGCAGGTAATCTACCCCGTAATCATAGCAGAGGCAGCTGGTGTGTCAGGTCATAGCAGAAGCTGTCTGACTATCAGGTCATGTAGCAAGAGAGTGGGGCAAAGTGTTAGATTGCAACTGGAGGACGTCAGCTACTGTGATTTCTTTGTTTGTGGGACATTGCTGGTTAACACGGCCCCGGTTGCAGTGCACTTTGTGCTCTACTTCCCAGCCTCCTGTAGATATTTGCTGGCTCGTCGGTCAGGCTAGGCACAGGTATCTGGCAGATCTGAGCTGGGGAGCAGGAAAGAGGGGAACTATGCTGCAAGTAAGACACAGCTCAGGCTCCCAAAAAGAAAAAGCAAAACAAGTTATGTGCAACTCATGCTCAGGACTGAAGGAAGGGCAGGCCTACTCAGAAGTTCAGGGTAATGATCTGAAACATTTGAAGCAAAATTTACTTCTAAAGCAAATCACTCTGTAGGATCATATTTACAGCCCAACCTCATACCTATATAACCTGTGTACAATTCCCTGCATAACTACTTTAAAGTATAATATATATTTGAGAAAACATTTATAACTCCACTGGGGGATAGGTTGCTAAGAAACAGAAGGTATTTCTTAAAAAGCAAGACAACCATCTGCTTAGATTTGAAGCATTTCTCTCTGACAAATGGTGTGGTAATGATTCATGAAATTTATAATCTAACTTAAAATCTTATGGTCATGGTAGCTTACAAATTCATCCATAATCCAGAAAACAAAGAGAAACCTATGTGATAGATAGATAAATTGTGATGTGAGCAGAACCAGAGTTTCTTTGTATTCAAAACATCAGTCCAGCTATGAGGATTTGGTTAATTATTAAACATATGCATGTAATCAGAACACCTGACTTTGCAGTTTCTTAGCAGACTGAGTATAGTGTACTTCTGCTTAAGCAGATGAGAGAAGGGAAATGGGATTTATTTGCAACTTTTTGTTTGGATAAGAAAAATAATGTAGAATATTCTTGTGTTCTGCACATCAGTGCACCCACAGTTTCTAGATCTACTAAAAAATGTCAAGAATATTGGATCCCAGAATTTTCCTGCTAGTACTTTCATTTTTAACAAGCCTACGGAGTACAAAGGTACTTTCAGAATGGAAGAAATGTGGTGATTGGGAATGTGAAAGTAAGTAACTTCTTTTTTTTTCTAAAGCTGTCAGTGTATATTTAGTTATTACAAACCATTATGTTGAAATTAGATGAAGCACTGAATGAAAATGAGTAGCCATAGAAAATCTCTGTTGTTGATATGCTAAGTTTATGAATAATTGGCTTAAAATTTTCAAACAAAAAAAAAAAAAGAGGAACATTCCTGAAAAACCTACTTACTGGACTGTGTTGTGTAAGAATATAAAGATCGAAGTTCAGTCAAAACAAAACAAAGTTCTTGAATAGCTCACTTTTCTCAGGTTTCCACAAGACAGTCAATATAAAGCAACTTTAAAATATTTTTCACTCATTCCTTACAGGCATATATATATTTGAAAAAGGTAGCAAGAACGAACATATATCTTTGTTTCATAGCCTGTTTTGCAATACTGTATTTTTCTATTCTAAGCAAACTGTTTGGAGTTTCTTGTTTGTTTGCTTGTTTTATAATCCTTTCTATGTGGCACACAGATCCCTTATCCTTATGTCTTTAAGAAGAAGTAAGAGTAGTAACTGGTAATGGAGTTCCTGGGGATCAAATAGCTTTTCAGGAGGCAGTCAGCAAGCCACTGAATCACCAGTGGACAGCAATAAGTAATGTGAGGCATTTTCATACTAAATGCTTAGACCTCCTCTGCTGACAGCCTGATTTTCCTGGGGAGCCATTCCAACTTCCCCAGCTTCTGGGTGCTCAGAGATATCTATCTGTCTGTGTATGGAATGGGCTCCAAACTGACTAAGGCACATAAGTAGTGGTTTCTGTGGGTATATACAAGTGGAGACAAAGAGAAAGCAAAGTCATTCAAATTGAATTTAATAACTTGTTTTTGATAATGTCTTTAAGTTTTTACTGCTTAAGCTTACCTATTTTCTTTATAATATTAATATACCCAAAATAGCAGACAAAACCCATACAATAGCTACTAGATTTAACTTAGAATTTAAAAAACAAAAAATTAGAAATTTGCTTGGAAAATACTTCTAGCTGCTTAGATTTGTGTTTAATAGTTGAATTTGCTAATTCTCCACTTGCATTTCAGCCTTGAACGCTTGGATCACAAGCACTAAAAACAATGCTGATATTGGACAGGAGCTTTTCGCCTTGGTGTCTGCACAAAGTAGCAGAAAAAAAACAGGACAGGAGTTCTTTTTTCCATTCTGTATTTTCAGTAAAATACCACTCCAGTAAAATACCTTTCAGTAAAATACCACTCCATCACCAAGTGTCATCATATATTATATGATTATATTTTATATATTGATTATATTTTAATATATTATTACATATCAGGGTTTTTCAATAACCTATCTGACTTCACGATGAAGTGGTTACCAAACTTACGAGCTCCCTTCTTCCTACATATTATTCCAGCGGCTATGAGCAGAGTTCATGCCACTACAGATTATCTGGGACCTGACTGCCGATATCTGAGCTTCAAAACAGGGGAGGAGATAACTGTATATTCCAAACTTTCCAGGAAAAATGAAAATTTGTGGATAGGAAGTGTAAGTATTTAAATCTGATAGACTTCCCACATAAATAATTTAGGTACTATAATAATAACAACAGCAGTCTACTTCCCTCTAGGAATTTTCCATCTCTTTTGTAATTTTAACTAGTCATGGGTCAACATCGTATTTGTGAGATGCTTCATTGTTTTTATCTTTCTGTAAAAGGAAAAATCAAATCTGGCTATCAATTACTCATTGAGAAAGAAAACACAGATCAGAATCCAACTTTTCTGACTTCTCTTCTAATAATTTGACTGCAATGATTGCATCCAGTTCCCTTAAGAACATTCTGGTCTGTTGGGTCAGGTCTGCTGGTAATGAGTTTTTATGGTTACTTAGTGGACAATCCAGTGTTGGGACCTGACGTTACAGTTCAGTGCTCAGAGAAAGTTCCCAGAGAAGTTATCACATATATGTAATGGTTTGGAACAACTGACAATGTAGTTAGAGCAACAATTATTTACGCTGCAGCTAAAAGCAGTGGATGCACAGATCCAATTCCAACTGCTAGTAAAACTGAGCTGGAAGGGAGCTTAAAGCACACCCAGTCCCAGCTCCTGCCATGTGCAGAGCTGCCCCCCACCAGCTCAGGCTGCCCAGGGCCCCATCCAACCTGGCTTTCAGTGCCTCCAGGGATGGGGCACCCACAGCTTCTCTGGGCAGCTGTGCCAGTGCCTCACCACCGTCTGAGTAAAGAATTTCCCCCTAACATCTAATCTAAATTTCCCTTCTTTTTGTTTAAAACTGTTCCCATTGTCCCGTCGCTATCATGCCATGAAATATACTTCTTGCTTCCTGAATTGGCAAATGGAACAATTTTGTGAAGGAAAAATAAAAAATAAACCTTTCTTCTTCTTTTCTTTTCTAGCACATATGCAAGCACCCAATATAATCATTATTGAAGTTTAAATGTTTAAATGTGTTAAATGCTTAATATGTCTTACAGAAAGGAAAAGATTTTGGTTATTTCCCAAAAGATGCTGTGAAGGTTGAGGAAGTTTTAATTGCAGAAGAAGTTGAAGTGCTCACTAAGGTAAACCAAAATCACCAGATTCTCCAGTGTAGTTTACACCACATGAAAAATCTAAAAACAAGTTAGAAATTTGTATTTCAATGCACATTTTATTTCAGATAATTCAAGACAACATTCCATTTGTGTATTTATTGTCTTTTAAGATAATTTTTTATCTGATAAATAATATAGAACCGCTAGGAATAATTCAGTTACTTACAGTCCTTTGCATAAAGTTATAGGCACACACAGAGGAAGAGAATAAAGATACACTGCTGTAGAAAATTACATATGAAAATATTTTAAAAGTTTATATTTTTCTTTTAGGAAACTGATTTCCTTTGTCTTGATGGAGACGAGTATGTTTTTGAAAGCGAAGATAACGCATTACATTATCAGAACAAAGAAAGTGAATATTCATCATCTGATGCAGAATCAGAGCTGCAAGAAAATGAACTCTTAAATCAGACAGGAGACTCCTTCCAAAATGAAGACACAATTGAATCAGTTTTTGAAAATGACTCCAAAGAATCTCAGAGTCAGGAGTCTGCAAACAAAAAATTGGTTAGTGAAAATGAGAGCAGAAATGAAGATGCTGAACAGCCAGAACTCCAAAACAGTCTCCCACTGGAACCCATTCCAACTCAGTCTAGTTGGATGGTTTCCGATATTGCAGGGTGGTTCACCACGAGAAGTGAAAATGATGAAGAGTCCTTAAAAGCCATTACTGAACCATCAGAAGAAAATAGTTACCAAGGCAGAAAAATAGCAGTAACTGCAGACAATGACTTAGAGGAGCCAAATGACAAGGAGGAACAAGAGCCCACATCATCTGGTTGGCTTCAGGGTGGACTGAAGGATTTTCTGTATTTTGGTAAAGAGAATGTGAATGTTGGTTTGGTATCAGAAAATGATGTAGAAATCCATGATGTTTCTAGTGTGGATACTCATTCCTACAGTGAACATGAAACAACAGTCACAGAGTTATCGACAGAAAAAGAACAAAATAGTGAGAGTCAAGAATCCACATCAAATTGGTTTAGTTTGGGTTTAAGTGATGTTCTAAATTTTGGGCAGGCTGAGAAAAATACAGATGCTATGGAAGATCATGAAAGCAAAGAAAGAGAAGATGAAGCAAATAAGAATGAAGAAATGCAGACTTTAAACCAGCAAGAATTACACACAGACAGAGAATCAAATGAGACAGTCAAAGAAGCGATAGATAAAGCAGATGAGAGTTACACACCAGAAATAATAGATTCAAACAGCAACATGCTAAATGCCAGGGAGATAACAGCAAGTGTGTATACTCCTAATGATACCAAAAACACCCCAAGCAGCACAGGATCATCTTTTGATAAACTAATAGGTGACAAAGAAGATCCAGTTGATCCCTGCAGTTCAGAACAAGATGTGGTATCAATAAGTCAACTGTTAAAAAACACTGAAGATAGAAATCCAGAGTTGGAAAGGAACTACGGCCAGCCAGGTTGGTATGAAAATATCTGAAAAAGTTTCATTAATAATGTAGACAGATATGATAAACCAATTGAATCAGGTCAAATTTCTTCTCCCATCTCAGTACTGTGATCCCTCAGACACAAAAAATATAGAAGAAATGCCTGACATATCAGAAGAACAGAACCAGTTCTTCCCTTAGGATTTCTGCAGATCTAACAATGTTTCAGATTTCAATAGCTAAGGGAGAGAAAGTGTGGAGTTTATGGGAGGATGTGTTTAGTTGTTCCAATGTTGAAGAATGTGTTTCTAGAAGTAGTGAAATTTAGGAAAACACCAACATAAGAGGTTATTATGATGACCTTATCTCCAAAGATTCTCTATACTTACCTTCAAGATTAAGTTTTGAAAATACAGAATGTTTACAGGCATGAGATTTTTCTCAAGCAAACACCATTCGCTTTCAAAAGAGGAACAAAGTGAAGAAGAAGAGAACAGAGTATGTGTGAATGAAGAAATGTGCACTTTAAATCAACTGGAAATTGGAAACTACTGCAGGGAAACTAAAAAACAGAAGCAGTTGAAACAGTGCAAAATGAACAAAATAACCTCAGTGCTTATATTCACAAATATGTAAATTCAGAAAATGAATTGCACGCCAGTGGGGACCACCTAGGTGTCAAGATTATCCCATGTGAGAGTGACACCAGGCTCACTCTGGAAATGCTGTGTGATAAATGCACACATTCACCGAACCCATTTCATTATGTTCCAACAATTTTATTTATAAATGTTAAGCTGAGAGCAGCTCTGTGAGGGAAACAAACTTGTACAGCTACACCGATGTGAAAAGCTTCACTGTGAAATCACAGCCTACTTGTGGAAGCTATTGGGTTATTTGTGATGGAGATCTTTGGCCACTTGTGTCCCTGGAGCTTAGAATTAAAAAATATTTTTGTTGTAGATTGTGTGTTTTTCTACATAGTTAGGCAAAGTGTGGCATATTTTTTTTGTTTTGTTTTGTTTTTTAAAGTATATTTTGAAATGCTTTTTATTCACTCCAGAAAATTTACCTCAAGACAGAGGAAATAAGGCAGCTGATTCAATACCCTTCCAATACCCTTCTGCATAAACATATCTGTGTTTTTGTATTTTACTGTGATGTTTGTTATTTTGTAGTTTCCTAAAAGATCTGCTGATCTTTAATCCTACATGGGATCTTTAATTGTTGAGGAGAAGAAAGAAAATAAAATCAAAACCTCAGTTAGATATTCATATCTTGTAATTAAAAAAAAAGAAAAAAATTGTGTGAGAACAGTTGTTGAATCCTTTGATAATAAACACCATTTCTTTTCACAATTATCTGCAGGAGTAGGCAGTAAAAGAAGGCTGCTGGAAGAAAAGCCAGAGGATAAATATGAAAAGGATGCACCTATTGACAAGGAACAACGTTCAGAAGAAACAGTGATTCCTTCAGTAAATTCTGAAGAAAAAATGCCAAGCTTAGTAGCTGATTTTCAACATGACGATGAAAAGCCTTTCTCAGATGACATTTTCCAAATTCAGAACTACATTCCAGATAATGGTACGTGTAAAATTTCCTAATTTGAGATGGCCAAAAAAAAAAAAGAAAAAGTTAAAATTATATTAAATATACCATAGTAACATAATTTTTTCTTTTTTTCTTTTTTCTTTATAAACAAACCAGATGGAGGCTGGATAAATCAGATACTTCTGTGCCTGAGTGCTATTGAGATGGGGGAACTGGTAAAGTTTGTTTTTTCATCAATTACAAGTATTGTCAAAGAGGTAAGAGTTGCTCCTTGCTTCCATTAATATCTGTTGCTAATAGTAACTGGTCATGAGTGGTGTTCCCCAGGGATCAGTACTGGGGCAGACCCTGTTTGATATCTTTAATTGATGGACGAGGCAATTGAGTGCAGCCTTAGTAAATTTGTGGATTACATCAAGCTGGGAGGAAGTGTCAATCTACCTGAGAGCAGAAAGGAAGTCCAGTTCCCTACAGAGGAAACTGGACAGACTGAATCAATGGGCTGAGGCCAGCTGTGCATGCTTTGACAGGACCAAGTGTCAGGTCCTGCACTTTGGTCACAACAACCCCAGGCAGCACTACGGGCTTGGGGCACAGTGGCTGGAAAGCTGTGCTGAGAAGGATCTGGGGGTGTTAGCTGACTGCCAGCGGAACATGAGGCAGCGGTGTGCCCAGTTAGCCAAGGTGGCCAATAGCATGTTGTATCAGAAATAGTGCAGTCAGCAGGACCAGGGAGGTGATTGATTGTCCTCCTGTACTCTGTTCTGAGCTGTGCACTTTGAGTACCGTGTTCAGTTGTGGGCCTCCTGCTACAAGGACACTGAGGTCCTGAAGCGTGTCTAGAGAAGGACAATGAAGCTGGTGAGGGGTCTGGAGCACAAGCCTTATAAGGAGCACTTGAGGGAACCGGGACTGTTTGGTCTGGAGGAGGCTCTGGAGGCCTTACAGCCCTCTACAACTCCCTGAAAGGAAGTTGTGAAGAGGTGGGGGTCGGCCTCTTCTATGGAGGAACAGTGATAGGATGAGAGCGAACGGCCTCAAGCTGTGCTGGGGAAGGCTGAGGCCGGGTATTAGGAAAAACTCACCCCAAAGAACGGTCAGGCACGCACTGGAGCGGGCTGCCAGGGAGGTGTCGGAGTCACCGTCCCGGGAGGCGTTCAAGTGCAGATGCGGCACCGAGGACGCGGTTAGCAGTGGTGACGGCTGGGTGCCTGGCCTAGCTGACCGTAAAGGTCTTTTCTCCAGAATCCCTCGCAGCGACGGCAGCCTCTTCCCGCTGATCGACGGCAGCCCCAGCACGCTCGGTTTTTACCAGGCAGGCAGGTGTTCCCGAGGCCCGGCCCCCCGCGGCGCCTCACGGCGGGGAGAGCCGCCACCTGTCGTCCCTGGGCACGAGTCACAGGCGTGACGGCAGGCCCGCCTCTTCGGCGGGGCAAGGTCTGTGCCATGAGCCGGCCCGGCCGCTGGCGCTCCTGTTTGCGCACGGCGCTGCCGTGACGCGGGGCGAATGGAAACGGCGGAGGTAAGCGTCCCCCGCAGCAGCGCTGTGGCGGCGAGCGCACGTCGCGTCGGAGGAGCCGCTCCTCCGGGCGCCGGCGGTTCCGTTCACGAGGGCGGCCTGCCGGGCTCTCCCGGCCGTCGTGCACCGCTGCCGGCCGGGCCGCGCGCCGAGGCCCGGAGCCCGCTGCCGCCGTCCCGCTTCCTCCCCTCCGCCGCAGCGCGATCTCCCTCTTCCCGGCGGCGGCGCCCCCCTTCGCGTCTCAGTGGTGCGGCCCGCCGCGCCGCCCCCTTACCGCCGGCGGCAGTGGTACGGCCGGTTGCCCGGCGAGGGGCCGGAAGGGAGCCGCGCGTGGCCGTGCCGGCGCCGCGGCAAGATGGCTGCCGGTGGCCGAGGAGATGCGACGGGCGCCGCCGACGCCGGCCTCTGGCTGGGGCTGCGGGACGCGGCGCGGCGCTGCCGCCGGTGGGCCGCCGAGGCGACCCGCAGGGTGAGCGCGGAGCTCCTCCGAAGCCCTTCGGGGCTGGGAAGCGGGGTCTGGGGAAAGCCGCCCCGCGCCGTAGCGGCGGTTCGGGGCTCCGCAGGGGAGCCCCGGCGTAGGGCCGAGCCGTGCTCCCGGGGAGCGGCGGGGCCCGGCTGCTGCTGAGCCGCCCGGAGAGGTCGGTACGCGCCGCCCGCCCCTTCGGGGTGGGAGAGGGACAGGGAGCCCGCCCTAGCTTGTGCCCTGCTCAGGTAGTGGCGGTTTTAAAGCTTTATTAAAGAATTAGAGATTGAGGTTTGCTGTATGGCAACAGGTTATTTAAGACGCGTTGCATTTACTGCACGCATTGAATTGTGACTGCCGAGCATAGCAGGAGCGGTTCTCAGAGCTTTGTCTGGTCCTTATCCGATCTTGTTGCATCCTTTTTTTTTTTTTTTTTTTTCCCCTTTGGTAAATGTATAATGCAAAACTCAGGCTCCTGTTAACCACCATCTTGGAGTCTTGGAAAAGCTAGATGTACAGGCCTGTGCCTCCTGCCTTACACGTTGACTTAAATTACTTCTTGCAGCTGTTTCTGTTGAAAATATTAACCTCCTCAGTTCAATCTTTCAATATTATTTTTCAGGCTGTGGCATCGCTGCCTGAAGACATGAGACCCGGACCTGATCTCTACGGTTTCCCTTGGGAACTAGTGATCGCTGTCAGCATTGCTGGAGCCTTTACAATTTTCCTGTTCCTGTATAGAAGTTATCAGTCAGTAAGTGTTCAATTGCCTTGCTGATATATAGACTTCATTGACAGTTTCTAACAATTTAAATTGTTACTCTGCAAAGGTACGTAACATTTCAATCGCAGTAGGTTTAAAACTCTGTATTTAGACTCTCTTTAAAAAAAAGGAGAAAAGCTGGAAAGTAGCTTGCTTTGTCAAGACAGGAGGTGTTTTTCTAAAGCAACTAGGTAAAAACAATCTGGATGAATCCCCGTCAAGGGACGCATTTTAAAAAACTTTGACCATTGACCTTGATGCTACGTGTCAGAGTACTGAACTGATTTTATCTTGAGCTGTTTGTGAGTGGTAAGCTGGAGAAATGTAGTACTGAAACCTCTTAACACAAACATCACATGATATTTTTGAGGTATGGGTTGCCTTCCGTTGTTATAACTCAGATCCTCCCCCACGCAAATCTGCCTACCAGTCTCTCTCTACTAAAAAAAAGAATTCATTATCCATAATCCAGTATTCCTTAAGTTCTGTTTGTGCTTAGGTAGTCAGAGTGTGATTTTTGGTGCTAGGTGTAATGGCACTTGTCTTTGAAGATAAGCTGTGTGGCATCTTTATTTTTCAGAAAAGAGCAATTGCATTTGTATTAAAGGTTCTGCCATCTCATTAGACCTGGAAAAATACCACCTATTTTGCAGCAGCAATTCAGGTTGTCTGGAAGAGGGGTCCTTATTTGTATAAGTTAATGTATCTGTAATTTTTTGTCATTCCTTTAGTGTTTTTTTGTTTTGTTTTTATTTGCTTTTTTTTTTTTTTTTTACTGTATTCCATTCCCGTCAATGGATATAAAATGTAAGTTTCAACTTAAACTTGAGTCAAATAGCAACTCTAGTATTGTTTTCCTCTTGCACCCAGTATCAGTCACCCAGTATCAACCCTTTTAGGGATTGAGAGGATAGGTATGCTTATGAGTTTGTTCCATTTTTCTTGCTTAGACTGCTTGACTGGAATTAGAAGGTTACAGGGAAATTCAGAGAGAAATTCATTCTCCTTAGATGTCACAGATACATTCCAGGCACGTCTGTGAGAGAAATGTCACGTTGCAACATTTTGGTGGGCTCATTCAACTTCTTCATCTCTTGTTCAGGCTGTTAGTAGTATTTCATTCTGCTATTTGTTCAGTTTTGGTTCTAGGGCATTAGGCCTCACGTGGCAGCCTCTGATTTGGTACTTCCCACAGGGGAAGTGGGCAGGATGCCCATCAAGTAGTGCTCTTACTGCAGCCCTGACTGTTATGTATTACAGCATGCGGTTTCTTGCTTCCTTCGTAGGAAGTTAAGTCTGAGCTGGCATGTAGAGTAACTATCCCTTGTCCTTGCTCTCTTCTTCTGGCCGTTACCACTTTGTGTTGGCAGTATGTGTGTTACGTGACTGCAGCCTTTATTTGCATTCCTTTCTTCAGTTCAGTGGGTGACCTGATTGTTACCATAGACAATAGTTTCAGATACTGTATAAGAGTAATTAATCAGATGTTTTCAAGGTTGTTTTTTTTTCTTTTTGTTCCAGGTTAGAAGTCGACTTTATGTAGGTAAGCCTATTTTTCATAGTTTGATGCGTAACTTTCATAAACCTTTTTTTTGCTACTTTTTATTGTGTGAATGTTGCAACATCTAGCTGTCTGTTTATTTTAGGAAGGGAAAAACAGCTTGCCAATAAAATTGCTGAACTAGTTGAAGAGAAATGCAAAATTCTTGAGAAACTCAGCCTTAGCAAAAAAGAGGTAACCTAACAACCTTCCAATTCAGTGCCTTATCAATATCTCACATTGTAATCAAAATTTGTGCTTGACTAGAATATTATTTATTCTGTTATTTAGGCAATTTTTATATAAGATCTGAATTTTTTTTTCAGTTGGAAGATTTAGAATTGTCTCTAAAGGATGACAACATTATGAAAGAATCAGATGCATCTCTTTTTGAGGTAAAAAAAAAAAAAAAAAGGAAAAAAGATGAAATTATCATTTGATACTAGAGCAAATGGCATGTTAGACAATAATTAATTGGTTAAACAGGAGACAGAGGGCACTGCAGGAAGTATGTTCTCATGTTCTATTTACTTCAAATGCATTTTATAGCCTACTGGAACATTTTAAAATTACCAGGACTTTTAAAGAAAAGACATGCATAAGTACAGAATAACCTCGTATTGACACAGTAGCAAAATCAGATGAAATTGCTGCATTTATATCCCCTGTACTTAGTATATATTTGTAAAAGATTTCAAAAAAAAATTGTATGAAAAAATGGACTATATACAATTTACGTAACAAAAAAGCAAATAGATTTATTTTGTTCTGCACCTCAGACCCAATAGAGCTAGTTGTTAAAGGTTTTGTTAGCATGCACGAGTCTAGAGTGCTTTGAGATTTATACTTGATATGGTGATGTTAAGTGTACTTTGTCATTTTTGCATTAAAATGAAATTTAAAACTTACTCTTTTTATGTAGTTAATGTCAAGTGTGTTGTGTTAACTGTCAAAACAACTTAATTTAGGAAACACATGAAAAGCTGAACAAATCAAACTTGGAACTCAACCAAGAAATAGAGAATCTGGAAAAGGAACTGGAAGAAGAAAAATCCAAACAATCAGAAAATGATAAATTGGTAAGAATAGAAATGATCATTAAAGTGAGTGTTGCTACTCACTTTAATGTTCTCAGAAAAACAGCTTTCTCTCATTTGGAGGTAGCAACCTTCACAGTTTGAAAATTAAAATAACTTTGTTAATTGCTTAGATTTTTCCAGTCAAATCTATTGAAGAAACTGTATAAAAAATAATTATTTTCAGGTGGCTGAAATTCAGGAAAGACTGGAATCTTTGGAGAAAGAAGCAAAATGTATTCAATCACAAGTTGCTGAGGTATGTCTTATTTTATAGTTTCTGTTTTCAAAGCTTCATCATTTCTCCGTTCTCAATGTAGTTATTTGTAGTTATATATGTACCTGGTGTAGGGAACCTGTTTTGGCAAGGGGGTTGGACTCGATGATCTCTGGAGGTCCCTTCCAACCCCTACAATTCTGTGATTCTGTGATTCCTTTAAAATTTTGACTAGCAAGAGGCAGAATTAATATGGTACTTAAATGAGAAGAATTGCAAAGGCTTTAATATTTCTGTGTGCCATGATTTACTAAATTTGGTTTCATATAGTGATTGCCACTTACTGGGAAATGCACTTCCATTGTCTTTTCTCTGCTCTCTTACTCTATAAAATGGTACACATTGTTGCAAAACTAAAGTCTGCAAAGGCTGTTGAAATTGTGATAAAAAGGTGAGAATACAAATATAACGTACTTAGACAAATTAAGAATGAGTCCATGGTGACTCTACTTCTTATGTCTTCACATGTACCGTTGAAACAGCACACTTTTTCTTTTTTTTTTTTAATTGATGTAGGCCAAGTCCACCCTAAAAGTGTATCAGATTAATACAGAGAGACTGAAGACATCTCTTCAAGATGCAATAGATGAAAACCGGCAGCTTCAGGAGAGTGAGAAACAGGTAAGTTCTTCCTAGTTAAATTCCTTAGAAATTTTATCTTTGTACAGTGCTTCCTAAATGTGACTTCTCCAAGGAGCTCCTCCTGCACGGGTCTGTTAGTAGCCCATGAATGTTCTTGTAAATGGAATTAGGAAGAGCGGGCGTACCTTTAAAACGATGATGGAAGTAGTTCTGTATTGATTAAAAAACAATAAAAAAATAGAAGAAATACATATACAGATTATTGAGGAAGATGGCATGTAGTAATGTGACACTAATAGGATTTTTGCTGAGGAAAGCAGAGATGTAAGCAAGCCTGCAGCTTGGATTCTTTTTTAGCAGCAAAGAGCAAATGCTTTTATTTGATAAAACCAAACAAATGAAGAAATGACAGACTGTGCAAAAGACAGGTAGGAAACTGTAGTGTTGCTGTGGATGACTTTGTGGGAAGTCAGATCAGTACTGTGGAGATACAGAAAGGACTGTTACTTCTCAAGTTTTAGCTGTTTATTTTCTTCCTTGCTATAGCCAGATCTCAAAGAATGGTGGTTATTTTGAAGTGATCAGCATATGCAGTAGACATTCAGTGCAATGCCAAATTTTATAATGAACTTATGATTTCTAACAAAAAAGATAACATTTCTGAACAACTATTTCATTTTTTTTATGGATATGTACTTGTTTTCCTGTCTGACTCATCTCCTTGTTTTGTGAAATGTGTCCTGGCAGTTACCTTGAAGAGCTAGATGTGCTTTAACAAAATCAACAGGCCTGTACCTTTGATACCAAACTTGCTGGTTTGTAGGAAAGTTACTGGAAATGGTAAATTTTCTGCTAGAGAAACTCTGTTATCAGTAGAACTTAATGTTGTTCTTACTTTTAGCAGGGTTAGATGTTTGACTACACCAATAAAAAATAAAACGGGGGGAAGGGGTGAGGAGAGTTGTGTTAGATGCTGTGAGTGGACAAATAGCAGATGTTGGTTTGGTCACTGCAAGATGAAGTTGTGTGAGAATTATTTTTCTTTCAGGAGTTCTTTTTCATCAAATCTGTACGTAACTTTCTGTGAGAAGGAAGTGTCTGATCTCAGTGTTTTATTTCCAGTGTGACGACATATCGCTATGAAATTTTGCGAAGCTGTAGACAATTAAAAGTTTTAAGAGTTTTTTTTTGCTATTAGTAGCTTCTTGGTTTCAGACAAATTTTCTATTTATTTCTTCTTGAGGGAAAGATTGTTCTTTTTTCTTTCTTCCATTTAAAAATAGGACTTAAAGCAAGGTAATACTGAATGCTGAAAATTACTGTTTTATAGACAGTAGTTTTATGTCAGGCAAACCCAGGAGAAATTCAGAAAAACAGCCATTGGGGTGTCATTGATTTGTCAGGTTCCTAACTAAATATATATTTTTAATTCCTTCCAGATAAAATAACCTGGGTATAGTCATTTGTTAACCACCTTATTTAGGATGAGTAACTGCAGTTTGTCATTTTATCATAGCTGTGTTGCCATTTTTAGTAATTTCAGAACGGCTGTATTTGTTGCATTTTGCTGTGCTTTTTAGTGAATGAAGAACTTGGAAAATAGTTTATAGAGCCCAGTAAGAACAGAAGAGAAAGTATCTGCTTTGTTTATTTGTGTTTTCTTTTATAAGGTTGTTTAAGTGCGTGAACTAGTTCACTGTACTGGAAGATTTCTATCCCTTTCTTTTTCTTTTTTTATTTAAAGATGGAATTTCACTTATGCTTAAAAAGTAACAAAAATGTTATTTGTTCACAGAAATTAGAGTACGTTTTTCCCTCTGTTTGCACTAATGGCTCATCATCTGGCGCATCATAGTTTAAACACTGTAACAGATGTGCTCTCTCAGACTTAGGACGTGTCAGGGAGAGGACTGGGCCATTTAGTTTGAACAAGGGAACTGCTAATGAACTCCACATTCCTGTTCTTTGTTTTATGTTTATATGTGGATGGGGGGTTTTTATGTTTTTTCTCCAGGAACATTAGAAATACATGCTGCTTTATTTCACTGCACATTGTTGCTTTTTTTCCTTCACTGTTATTCTTACAAGTACATAAGTAAGGTTGATTTATTTTCTGTTTGGCTTTATGCAGAAGCTACTCAAAGTTTAGTTTCCCTGTTAGAAGCGATGTTTAATGATAAACATAGTTGCCTGTGTATGTCTTCTTGTATAGCAACTGCTGAATCACAGCCTGAACCTCTGATTGATCACTTGAGGTGAGCAATGAGTCAGCCATGGGAGCACAGGTGAAGGCAATTCACCTGTGCTGCCAGAAGGGGTGGAGCCTGGCTCCACCTCTCCTAGACACATTTAAGAGCTGACTACCAGTGGGAAAGGATCTCTTCTGGAGATCCCTCCTCTGGAGTTTTGCAGCAAGCTTAGGATGCGGATAAGCTTTCTGTCTGTTCTCTTTTTGTTATTATAATCTGCTTTGCCAAACTCTCTTGTTTATTTCATGATTATAACATCTTTATATTCATTGACTATACACTTCTGTATTAACAAAAAGAGTATTTTTCTTTTGTTGGTAATACCCAGTTTGCACTATGCTGTGAATTCATATGTGGCTTCTACTGATTGAAAGATGCAGTTGTGTGCCAGTAGCCAAACTACTGTAGTAAAAGCAATGGAGCAATAACATAGAATATATTTTCGAATCTTGAGAATTTAACTGTCTTGTAGCCTCTGTTTGTTTAATTCATATTGGTGGGTGAAAGGTTAAAATTCTGGTTTTGAAAAGACAGTACATGTAACATGCTCTATAAACTGATATTTATCCTTGATTTTTGGTTCTAAGAAATAATCACCCTAACCTAGTATTTCCCTTCTTAGCTTTTACAAGAAGCCGAAGGATGGGGTGAACGATTTAGTGAACTAAATGAACAAACTAAGATGTTTGAATCGTCTAAAGCAGATATAGAAGAAGTACTGAAAGATAAAGAGAATCAAGTCAAGGTAAATCATGAAAGTCAGCTTTGAATTGAATTACTCAAACTGATGCTAACCATGAAGTTTCAAGAGAATTGAGCAAATGATTCCTGTCTTAATACTCATTAAGTTGTTTTGAGTTTTTTTGTTTGCTGTGTCTATCCTCTAATGTCTGCTTTTCTGCTAAGCAAATAAAGTTGCTTAGCACAGGTGGAGCATTGTGATGGTCTTGGAAGCCAGCAGGTCTTAAAAAGGAGAAACACTTTTGATTCTTATAAATAGGTGTATTTTTTTGAGATTTGGATTATGGGGGTTAGGGCCTTATTCGTATTCACAAGCCTTATGAAAAGCCTACTTATATGGGTACTTGAACAGTCTTGCTAGAGCATACCCGTGACATGCAGTATATTCTTTAATGGGAAGAGTATAATGTTGGACGTGGAGAGTCCTACGCATAAAGCTCACTTGATCTACTAAGGGAACTACATAAAAGTTAGAAAACCTGGAAAAGTAATTGTACTGATAACTCCGTTTTTATTATTTGTACTTAATTTTACTATTCTTGTTTTGTGTGGGGTTTTTCTTAGTCATTGACACAGTACTTATTAAAGATGAAAGACTGGAGTTCAGCAGTCAGAGATGACGATGATGCTGAAGACAACCACTGGGACACCGATTTAAAGGGTGAAACAGAAAATGGAGAGCATTTAGGTATGATATTAAAAATATTTCAATGGATATCAAACCAACAAACTGGATAAAAATTGGATTTTCAAAACTCACCCAATGTTATTCATGTCAGACAAGTTATTTGATGCTTAGAAACTTGTGGAATAATGGTAGCCTATGCTACCATAGAGTAATGGATGAGTATAGATACAAGTGTATTAACTGTTATAGAGCAATGAAAAGATTCAATGCCTGGTCTCTTGCAGAGTGACTTAGCTTATGTTAGTATTAGGCAGTGATTTTTCAGACATAGGTGGGAACCTTACTTTAATTTCTTCCTAAAGTTCCTCCAAGCAGTATTACTGTGGGTCCCTAGATTTTAATTTCTACTTTCTTGTCATTGCACAACTGTTAGTTGTTGCAGACAGTGTGACAGCACTGGGGATAAAGATGTGGATACCCTGAAAAAGCAGCACAGAAGAGCCTTTCCTCTTCCTGATTCGTGTGTGGCTTCTCTTTTGCTAGTGCTGGTGACAGCACAGTAAATCTTAGAATGCATTCACTCAGTCTGAGTCTGTCAAGGAGGGAAAACCTATTTTCTGTTTTAAAATATGCTTTGCCTATTGTGGCATTTTTTAATAAAAATAAACTGATACCAGTAGCAGAGTAATAAGCTCTGTCACAAATCTTTCTGTGCTTTATATGTGATACCTTCTCTTCTGTCAATCAGATGATCAGCAAAAACGAACCATAAAGAAATTGATCTATGCTGCAAAGGTATGTGATTTTTAAGAAATTTGTGGATGGAATGGGGGCAGGGAGGGAATCTAAATACAATATATATGATATTTTTTTAATGCTAAGTTTAATTGTAAATAGCTATCTAGTGATATCACAGAGTCGTGTGGTTTTGTTGTTTAAATATTTTTGCATACAAACAGTTTCTAATAATTTTAAGGTACTTTTTTCATTTTGATTGTAGTTAAATGCCTGTTTAAAGACCATGGAAACAGAAAGAGATCAAATGTATTCAAAATTGTCTGATGAAAGTAAAGCTAAGGGAGAACTTACAGGTAATTAAACGACATATTATTTCCACTAAAAACTGGATTAAGTATAAGTTAATAGATTTACTTGATGTTCAAAATGCCTGTGTGAATTGCTTAGCTATTTTAAATATTTTATTTTGGTGGTGAAGCAATCCAAGTTTAGTAATTTATAATTGACTGCTAAAGCACCGTTTCTAAATTTTATTGTACTCTTCTGGAGTATGGAAGTTACAAAATCTTAAAATATCTGGGCTAAGTGATGTTAGTAAATTTAGAATATATAAATACTGGATGTGAAACAATGGACTTTTAGTCTAAAATTTTAAAACTACCTACTAAAATTGATAGTTTAGTTGTAGTGTAAGCTGAATACTTATTAAAATCTGAAGTACTGCATTTTAGAGCATTGAAGCTAGAAGTATTTTTATGTTTTTCTTTATTGTATAGATCGTACTGAATTAAACTTTACGAAATGAAAATACTGCTGCTACAATTTGAAAATTCTTTAACTAACTGTTGCTTTTGATGATGAAAGCAAGCAGAATAGCCATCACGCTTTGATATTTGAATGATGGTATGCTCTGTAAAACTGTATTTTTTCAGTGCTTAATGGTCATTTACACTGACTTCTTATGCTGGTGCATTTTTCAAATCTGTCCCATAAAAGTACTTGAACTTACTTGAAGCTCTTAGGAATAGTAAATAAAGAGCATGACTGATTCTAGATAATGGAGATTCAAGCTGGAATTATCCCTTCAGGCATTTTAGCAAGACTTTGTATGGGTAATCTGCAAGAATGTACGATGATAAAGATTTTACTCTTTTAGTGCAGTAATGACAATAATAAAAGCTGTAAATGAAGATTTACATTGTGAGTTACAAAACAGCATTGTCTAGAGAAGCTCTACCATTTGGAGGGGTTGCAAAGGTTAGTTGTTTGCTCAGAGCTGTGCTTTGTGGCAGGTAGAGAATATAATTGCTGGCTTCCCATCAAAATCCAATACTGTTTCTCAATTTGTATAATCTACTGAAATGTATTGATACACATTATTGCATACTTTATTAAATTAATGTAGTATCAAAAGTTTTTACAGGCTTTTTAGAGTCTAGATATATTACAAATACTTTAATTTTGTGAACTGTATCTAATTCCTAATATAATTATCTCTGTATTTAACAGAGCGTATAGAAAACCTCCAAAGTGAACAGGTTTCCTTACAATCTGAAAATGAACGTTTGGAAAGTGAAGTTCAAAAGCTTCAGCAGAAACTTAAAGTTATGACTGAGCTTTATCAAGAAAATGAAATGAAACTACACAGGTGATGGTTCCTCCTGACTTTAATATTAAATGCTTATTGCTTGACATTCACATGTTTTTGTTTGGGGGGCTGAAAATGATTTACAGTTCTACTAGCCAAAAATTACTGTTTCAAGGAGAAAACATAATTCTGAAGGTAGCAAGAGAAGCAGCACAAGTCTTGATTCTGTACTAGGCAGTATGCAGGGCCTATTTTAAGTGTTACTTTCAACAATAAAACTGCTCTGTAGTTCATATATAATACATGCGTAACTGGCATCCTTGCTAGTGTAGCAAAACCCAAAAATCCACTACATTAACATTTGCTTTTAAAAGAGATGAGGGAATAGAAAGGAACCACTTAAAAATTAGCCATTTAGACATACCATGCCAAAGCTCAATAAACATGTGCTGCTTGTCAAAGACAAGAATAGACAATATTGATTGAAGTCAGTTTAATAGCTGAATAAAGGAGGCTATTAGTACTAACAGAACATCTGCTAAATAGCTGCTGAAATAGCATTGAAAAATGATGTAGGTCTGTGTAGTTGGTTGGTTTTGGGTTTTTGGTGGGGAGGCAGGGGGTTATGTGTTTTTTGTTTGTTTTAAATAGAAATACTCCCTAGAAAGTAAATATTTTGCAAAAGGAGGACTTTAGTATTTGGGAGTTTAAATTGCCTTCCAGATTGCTTTTAGGAATAGTGATAATGCTTCATAAAACAAAACTAATTAACTGAATAAATTAATATGAATAAAATTGAGTCCTGTTTCTGCCACTTAGTTTGTTGTCTGTAAAATCCTTTATCTAGATAAACATTTTCTATATGTTCTAGCCATTTCTTGATATTCTGACTACAGAATTGTTGACTTAAAGACAAAATTAACCTTAGTTTGTGAATTTTCTTAAAGAAAACTGACAGTAGAAGAGAGAGAACGCCTACAAAAAGAAGAAAAGCTTTCTAAAGTAGATGAGAAAATTACTCATGCTGCTGAAGAACTAAACAGCTACAGGTAATTACAAATTTTACTCACTTGTTTAAAAGTGAACAAAAGGCAATAGAGAATATCAGAAGAAGTGAATGTATTTTCTTCCAGATTGTTTCCTTTTTGTGTGTGTGCTTGCTTGTGTGTAGTAATACATACGTAATTGAGAACAGAAGACTACTGAGAGCTTTTCGATTGGAACGTTATTCATAATTATATGTCAGCTGAACAGGCATCAGAATTAGAAGCTAAAATGAATGTAACATTCGGTTCTCCCATCGCTCTGAACATATTCATTGTGTAGTTTTACTATTCTATTTCTGTATGTCTAAGTTGTAAAATAGTATTACTGCTTAGAAATTCTTTCCTAAAATACTCTAATGCAGGAATATTTTTCTATAATTTTTTAACAGGTTTTCTCTATTTTGTGTTACGCCTGCTGTTCTGTAATTTCTCTAACTGTAGTGTAGTTCTTTGATCTGTAATGTACATTTCCTGTCTTCCTGTAGTGCTTCTGAGAGTGTTGATTCAAAGTGAACAGTACTGATCAGCTATGCTTTCTGAACAGTTAATTACAGTAATTTTTCTTTGGAATATGAAGTTACTGTAGGCATTCTTCTGTATCCTTATAGGAATACAGAATTCGCTTTTTAGCATCCTCACCACGTATCTGTGGCCCATCTGCAGAGGCTGTGCACAGGAGGATGACAACAAGGTGGCTTCATGCTTTCTGTGGTCTGGAAATAACCTTAGTGCAAGTAACTGTCCCTCAGAACTGACTGGTAGCCTGAAATGGCATAAGGTTCCAGCCAATTAACCCAGTGTTGCTGCACTGGGTAAGGCTAGCTGTTAGGGCATTATGTAGAGGGATAGCCTTTAAACTGGAAACATATCACAGACCACTGAAGAGCTGGGAGGGAAGTTAATGGTTTTGGTTTTGTTTGTTCTTAGCATCCTGTATATACTACTGTAAGGACCGCAGGATAAAAAATGACGTCGGTGCTGTTAAATCTAGGCCTAAGTAACAATACTTCCTTCTAGATGCAAAATCTTAAGTACTATGGTTGTGCTTTTTATATTTAAAACTACTTTTTTTTCTCAGCAGTTTATTACAGCATCATAAATGCTGTTTTTGTTACAGAGAGAGAGCAAAAGATCTGGAAGAAGAGCTAGAACGAACCATTCGTTCTTATCAGAATCAGGTATGTGCTTTGTGTTACCTGGCATCTGTGACAAATAGGACGGATGCTGCTGCACTGAAATACCACTTCCAGTTAGGTTGTGGTACTTCATCTGGCTTTTTGTTCTCTTTTAACCTCTCTTACACCATCTGTTTTGGTTGACTCCTTTTCTTAGCAGAAATCACTTTTTGTAACTTTGTGAAAAAGGAGCTTTGGTTTAAGTTTGCCTCATAATTGTACACGTTAAACTTATGAATGACAGCATTTACTCAGTTTTAACTTCTTTAGATGAATAATGCTCTTCAGTGATGATGTAACAAATGTTTTTTTTCCACAGATTACTTCACATGAGAAGAAAGCTCACGATAATTGGGTAAGTTCAAAACACTAAATGTTCTTCTGTATCAGCTCCTGTCTCTCTCTTCAGTGATTTGAATAGCTTGCTTTATGAGCTCAGTAGAATTTAAGTACTGCAGTGTTATTTGCTATTGCACTAAATCTGCTTGAATAACATGCTATCGTTTAATAAGTGTGTGACATTTTGCTAATAACACAAGCATTTGGCCTTGCTTCAGTGCCATTTTAATATTTTTCCTGGATGCACTCCACTCCTTTTATCTACTAATGGAAGACATTATGTCCTGTGAGAACAGTGTGTTCCATTGACAGCCTCCTAAGAATGGTGCTATGAATTCCATTTTTACTTTTTTCCAAACAGAAATCGTTACAATATTTCCTGACTAATAAAATCTCCAGTTTTGCAGAATGGTCTGTATGAGATCATCCTTTTAAAATAGCACTTCATGATTGTAATAAAGATTTGAATTGTATTAATTTAATATAAATTTTTCTTATGTAAAATCAGAGATTTTAAATCTTGTATGTATTTTGTAGATGCTTCAAAGCAGCTACAGCTTAAGAATTCCATTCCTGCAATTCTAAGAATCTGCTGGAAAGCCTTCTTGTTTCCAAAATGTTAGCTAGCAGAACTGCTAGTGTCATTTGGTGATGTCCCTGAGGCTCTGTTTCATGTACTTTATGCATCAGTAGTATGAATGAAAATAGTCTACACACCTCAAATAGAAAAATGTCTTAGATCTAGGAGCTCTCATATTTATGAAGGATTTAATTAATAAAATACCTAAGCATCTGATTTTTGTTCCTCTTGGAAGCTGACAGCTCGTGCAGCTGAAAGACAACTCAATGATATAAGAAAAGAAAACGCTCATAACAGACAAAAGTAAGTGCAGTCCTGATCTGATTCTAAACAAATGTGATTGGACACGTGGGGATGTTTTGGATTTGTGCAATTCAGTGTTTTCTAGACCTGTGTTAACCATTGGTGATCGTGATAGGGCAGAGAGAGCACAGTATTCCATCGTAGCTCTGAAAGACAGACAGTTGAGGATTCCTGTAATAATGCCATGCAAGAAAATATGAGCTATGTGAGGTATTGAATTAGTTCATTAAAGAAGCAGAATGTAGTACTAGGGCTCTGAGGTTTTGATGATGCTGTTTTTCTCATATGTATGAATTAACCAGAAGTCATGATTATCAAGTGATCTTGCAACTTGCAGTTCAGAAGGTAGTACTGATCTAATGGCTTAAGTGGTGAGAAGGAACTTTTGGATGTACAGTTAAAGTAACACCTGAAGCATATCTTGGAGTGCTCATGAGAGCATTGCTGTGCTAGCAGTTGTGATATCTAACATGCTATTCAACTTCTGAATTCCAGTTTAAATACAGTAGCATAAAGAAATTTGAGGAATTACTAAATTCAGAGTTCTGTGACATCCCTTGTCTTTTTTTTTTATTTAGAGAATGAAATATGTCTGTCTGTTTAGCACTTACAGTAGGAAAGTTAATAGTAAGCAGTGCAGTTTGCTAACATTCTTACACTTTCTTTGTTTATTTACAGATTAACTGAAGCAGAATTTAAACTTGACCTTTTAGAAAAAGATCCTTATGCTCTTGACGTTCCAGTTAGACCATTCAGAGGTACAGTACTGAATTGTAAAATAGACCCTAATAGTTCTGAATTCCGGTTCTGTTTCCTGAGCTGACACGCATCTAATTGTTTCAAACCTATCTTGGCCACGTGTATGTACAAATAAGTCATGTTAAAAAACTAAGAGCGTTGGCAGCATTGATGAGAGTAGACTGGAAATATGACACATACAGTAATTGGAACGCAGTTCTCATTTCACTTATTGAATTTGGTTTTAAACTTCACCTGAGAAGTTAAGTAATTAATACAGCTTGCTAAACTGAGTATTGTGAACTTGAGTATTTTGTTTTAACTGTTCCAGAGCATTCCCCATATGGACCCTCACCAATGGGCCGGCCTTCATCTGAAACAAGAGCTTTTCTTTCCCCTCCAACTTTATTGGAGGGTCCTTTAAGGCTTTCACCTATGCTTCCAGGTGCAGGAGGAGGAAGAGGTACAATTCTTAAACTTGAAAACCTGTCTGTTCTGGATTTCTCTCTCCTCTGCTATAAATCTGTCACACCTTTTCCTCTTTCTGGTGACAAAAGCATTAAAACAACCAATTCAGTATAACCAGACAAACTCTTCCTGTTTTTCATCTTGCTTCTAAATCTATATACTGTACACCAATACAATGGAAAATTTTGTTGGTTTGAGTTAGTCAGTGGATTCACTTCACAAACAAATTGAGAAGAGAGCCAAACTTGGTCTTATTTCTTGGACAAATGCAGTTCTGCTGAAATAACTTCTGATGTTAAGTTAAATGAGTCAGTTAGATTTCTGAAGGAAAAATACAGATGCTTCCATCTCATTCAGACATTCATTTAAAGAGGGAGAAGGAAAGTGGAGGTACCTACATTCTCAACATTTTATTGAGGGTCATGAAAAATGATTCTGTAGGAAGTTACTGATTCAGTGAAATGCTTCTCTCCCTTTAGTTTTGAAGTTTGAGTCTTATCCCTAGTGCTGAAAGAGAACAGGAAGGCTGTGTATAAGGAGTAGAATATACTAGTTGAGAAGTAGGTGAAAGAAACCCACAGTGTCTTAGGTCATAAGGGAAGGAAACATGACTCCTTCACGTTTATTTTTTTTAATGGAAACAGTGTAGGTGAATTCTAGTATGGAGTTCAGCATCTGTTACAGGTAACGAAGAAGCTACTATATAACTTAGTACTGCTATGAGATCTGTTGGCAACTGTACTTAATGGGAAATATGTCAAAATATTTATAAGGATTTCAATAATCAACATTAATTTTTAAAAACTAATATTGTCTATTTATGTACTTTAATTCTCCATAAATAATATAGCCGGTTCCATCTGAAAGTTGATTCATGTTCTAAGAGAGGGGGAAAAAAAGAGCTGAGTTTGAATGTTCAATCATAGCTATACTACAAACAAGAAAAATTACAGGTTTGACAACTTCCACTTGAATAGAAGCAATAAATAATGAAATTTCGATGTCACACATCTTCAAATTGTAGCTCAGGTTTTACTGGTGAGTAAGGTGAAAACTGGATTTCAAAGTGGAGTCTTAGCGAGGAAGGTAACTATGCAAAAGCATAACTGTGGTTCATTTTGCAATAGAACACTAATATAACTTGGATAGATTAAACAAATGATGTGTGTAGTTGATGTAACTGCAGAGTAATTATAGTGCTTGTCTCACTTGATGCGAGGTAGAAAATGGCTTTGAATTCTAGGTTGAATTTCAGAATAGAGGAGGATACCAGAATTGTGTATTTTGTCAATCTTCAGAACAAGTCTTATCTGAAAGAAAACTACAAACCTGAAGTCACTCATTGTCACAATTTCTCTTCCACTTACTTATACATTGACCTGGTCTTGTCTGGTTTTTTTCTTATAATAGAGATAATGAGGATAGTGTTGAATATAATATGAATAAATATTTTTAATGAGGATATTAACTTTGAGCAATAATTTTTAAATTGATGAGGTCTTGTTAGTGACAGTTATTTTAGTGCTAAAAATAACACTTAGCATGAAGGCAGTAGTTTCTTTGAATTAACAAGTACTCTTAAAAATGATTTAAAAAAAAAATCAGGTAGTGTAGGTTACACTTCTCTTGAACTAAGATATTTTCCTTCCAAACAAACCTTTAAAGGCTTCTTGTAAATCATCATCAGCAAACAGCTGGAGATTCCTGTGGACCCTTGCTCCTCTTATATCTTGAAAGTGTTGGCATTTTGTGATACCTTCCATTGTTTTCAGACTTAACGAGGAAAGACATAATAGAAGTTTAAAAACATGAGTTTTAAGTATCTGATTTCTTCAATTAGGATCTAGAGGACCAGGATCAACTGTCATGTATGAAGCCAGCAATGAACGAGGAGACATGAGTTCTGATAGATTAACTGATCCTCACAGACCACCATCAGATACTGGATCCCTGTCTCCTCCCTGGGACAGAGAACGCAGAATAATTCTGCCTCCATCAGGTACAGAAATCTGCTTAGCTACTGAAAGAATGGAATTACTGACTTGTGGTGTATATGTTTAAGTATTTTTTGCTTGTATTAAAGAAACAAAGATACTACAATTTTAAAAATGAGCGTTTAAAAAAAAAGGGTATAGAACAATTGTGAGTTGCAGCAAGGTATCATAGTTGCATATAAGCCTCATCAGCTGCATATGAGCCTGATCTTGAAACTCAAAGTTCATTCAGGGTGGACAAACTATATCTGACAAATTTCCTACTTGCTAGATCTCAGCTACTTACAGGATACTGCAGAGGTACTCCTGTTTTCCTGTCCAGAACTGTGTTCTTACCCACCCTTGCTCTGAATCTCACTGCTGCAGTTTGCCTTGTAGCTGCATAATAACTAAATTCAGTGCAAGTAAATTGGAAACGTGTTAGAGCACTATGAAATGTAATGGGAAATGTCACTCTTAGTGTGATTTAAAATAAACAATAGATTATTTGTATATTGGCCTTCTTTGCTACTGAATCTAAGATTGCTTTCCCACCCTGTTTAATAGTCACTTTGACTATGTACAAGAGCATAAGATAGCCAGAGAATTTTGCTGGTGTAAAATTGTGTGAAACACTGACCTGTTTGGTGATATTTTGATTTTCTTTTTTTCCAATGATAGGTGAGCCTTATACTGATTCAGTTCTTCCTCCTCGAAGACAAGAAAGATTTTTCCCTAATCCTCCAAATACTGGAAGGCTTTCTGGACCAGCAGAGCTGCGGACTTACAGTATGCAGTCTTTTGAGAAGACAGGTGGGAATTACTTTACCTGGCTTCTATGGTACAATCAACTGGAGAATCTCAGTATAGATGACTGTACTGAGCCATGGGAGGGATTAGCAATAGCAGTCTCTCCTGAGTGCACGGTTCTTCAGCAGTTTGTAGTCTCCTTAATGGAACTGGTGAATAACATTTGGATAATGTTGCTGCCAACATCCAGCAGCTCATTAAGCTTGTGAATGTTGCTCTTTAGAGACACATAATTTCATCAGACTTAGGCATTTTTAAAAATACACCCATCATCTGATCTCAGAAGAGCAACATCTCACAGTAGTGGAATCCAGGCTCCAACTTTAAAGTGAATTGACTACAAATTCTCAGCAAGCTAACATGCCTTTTCTTAAGATGAGATGTCTAACTCCAAAAGCTTAACGTAAGGCAGATATCTGGAGAGCAAGAAACTTGTCAGAAGGGTTAAAGTTTGACAGAGTTTGAGAGCAACTTAACAGGGATTTAAAACAGAAAGTGTTATGCAGCTTGAGTGTCAAGGAATGAATACGCTCTGCATGGCTTAAAAAAATGTTTCAGGTTGGTAAGTAACTGCTTCTCTAACACAGGCAAAGCCTGCTTGAAATGACGTGATGCTGTTGCACTTTATGTCAGGAATATGTTTTAGTGCAGTAATTCCCAGCCTGGGGGAACAGGGGTTACGGAGTAGGACTTTCAGCTGAAGTGGGAGTTCCCAAAGGAATAAGGTATGAAAAGGGAGAAATGCAACTGCTGTGGTAACCCCTAGGAAAATGCACATGTAACTTCTGAGGGGAAAAAAAAAAAAGCTTTATCTGGATACAAAAAACTTTGGTAAAAGCTGCAGCCTAGGAATATTCACGTGTGAACTGTGCACAGGTTGGTGAAAATGCTGAAGCACAGATTTTGTGTTCCTCGGTAGTCTTTCAGTCTGCTTGCAGAGTAGTTGCTTGGCACAGCAGTATGTTTAATTTTCTTGCCTGTGTCTTCTGATTTAAGAAAAAAAATGGGGGGGATCAGCACTGAGTAACTTGTTTACCTTCTGCATACAGATGGGCAGACATCTTCAGAAAATAGCCCGCTAACAGAACCAACTGGAAATGAGATGAAAGATCATTCTAATCTTAGTGTAAGTAGCTAAACAGAAACTTGATTTAAAATATATTAAAAAAATATTTAGAAAAAAATTGTCTGTAATACTTGGTAGCATATTACACTGTGCAGTCCAAGTTATAAAAATTGTGTGTGGACTTCTATCACAGTATTCACTGTCTTGTGAGTTAATTTGGAGATGTTACTAGCATAATCACTGTTGAAAATTAATTAAAACCTGGAAGGTGAAACTGTGATCAAGGTGATAACCAGTGCAGCAAAGTAGCCTTGCTCAGGATTATGCTGCTTAGAGCTAGTTTATAGCTTGTGTGACAGTCCACATCAAAGCAGACCTGATGAGATTTAAGATATTCTTTCTTTTTCTCTTTTCCTAAGTTATCTTCCCTGTTTAAATGTGTTACAGAACTCTCTCCCTGATCGAATGCTGGCATCTGAAAGTGAAGCAGTTAGCTCAGGGTTTGCTCCTCCACCTTTCCCTCCAGTCAGACCTCCAATGATGCCTATGGATCCCCGAGGACCCTTCATGAGACGACCCCCTTTTCCTCCCCCTCCACCTGCTGGCATCTACGGACCACGTGAATGTTTTCCAGTACGAGACTTGGGGCTCCCACGCCCTCCACTGCCAAGTATGTAACTCCTGTTAGCATTTACTTCAGGCTAATGAACGTGAGTGGTTTATTGCCTGTTCATTCAGTTTTAATCTGCACAAACCACTTCTCAGTTTGTCTAACTTTCTGGTTATGATGGTAGTGTATATTTACTTCTTCAGAGCTGCTCACTGTGGTAGTGTTTTTCACTAATATTACCTTTGGAAAAGAGCATACAGTGTTCAGGAGCTGAAACATTCCTTTTCTCAGGTAGAAAAGCAAGTAGTTGTGAAGCTGCATCAGACATAAATTTATCTGTCATTTATCAGACAAATCATAGAACTTCATCATTCTTTAACTGTAATGTCCATACAAAGGCATGCATTTGTGACGTACCTTTTAATTGTTTCACTTCATAGCTTCCATTTTTGGAACAAGATGCAGGTATCAGATTGAAGGGCTTTTTTCTGCCTCTTGCTCTTCTCAGATTAATCTGTGAGGAAGTAATCTCTATCTTCCACAGTCTTTACAGTATGACAGCCAAGGGCTACCAGATCAAATTGCACATTAAACTGAAGGTAGTGGTGGCAGCAGCAGCAGCCCATTAGCAGACACTAACTGCTGCTGCCAAAAGCCTGGCACCAGATCATTGTTGAGGAAAGTGGGTATTTTGTCCTTCCCTTTCCTAGAGTATTTGTCTCATTGGAGCACATCATTGTCTTAAATGGTTTCACCTTGTGACTTCTAATTGGGTAGGCCATTGTGAGCAGTAAGGTGCATGGGGTAGAAGGAGCAGGTGTGGATTTGCTGGTGTGATTGGTATTAACTGGACTACTTTCATTGTTTCACAGTGAGAAATCCATTTCCCATGAGATCCTTTCCTCACTATCCACCTCAGCGACCTGAATTCTTGCCTCCACCCCCACCTCCTGAAAACAGAATTGAGTCACCTCAGTCAAATACGTCAGCCACAGAACAACCAGAACCACAACAAGAGACTTGAAAGGTGTTTGAGCACCATGCTGAACCATTTCTCTACTCTTCTAATGGCATTTTCCCTTATGTTAAGTAACTGCTGTTACTTAGGTATAAATAAACTACTTTGCTCAAATTGAAGCTTAATAGAAAATTTTCAGGATAGTATTTTGTAAATAGAGAGAACAAAATATAACTCACAAATATTGTGAATAAGTGATTTCCATTGTACAGTAGTCACTTTAAGTATTTCTAATTTAGGTGATCTCTTCAGAGGTATATAAAATTAAATAATGTGAATTGTTTTAAAAGTGCAGCTGCTTTGTCCTTGTTTAGCTGTACAGGGAAGCTTTGCATGCTAAAAGTGATGCTTGCTCTATGAATAGAATGTGAAAAAACTGAATAAATAAAATGTAAAGGTGATGAAATAATTACTTCTGTAGTACCATGTTAACAGGAAAGTTTCAGGGAAGGGAAGAGGAACCCAACTACATATGTACTCTATTATTGACTTGTAGGTGATCTTTCAGCTGAGAAAGCTTCACAGAATGGCAGATGACAGCAACTTACCACTGTGGCACAAAGGAAAGGAAATGTAAAGCATTCTTATCACTATTGAAAACTGCTAGCCTAAGGAATGTTTCATTGCAGGTGTTCTGTTTAAGGCAAGATGCTGTGAAAGCAAGGAGTTACCATCTTACAGCTGTATGTGATACTTCAGCATCATCAGACAATTGTTATTAGAGATGCGTGGCCACAGTAAACAGCAGTTGAAGTCCTAGTTAGTATTTTTTGTTTGCTTTTTTACTGTCCCAGCATGAATTCAGTTTAACAGTGTTCTAACACTAACAAGGGCCAAAACTAAACAAAAGCACTCTCCGAGCTTATAGTCTTCGTTCTTTCAACTCTGCAAGGCTGGAGAGCCATCAGCATTTATCAACTAAGTAGCTATAGAACATGGTAGGAGACTTCTGTAACCATGTAATATTACAGATAATTGAAAGAGCAAAGAAAGATCAAAGTATAACCAACATACTTTGCAAAAGGGAAGCAACAAAAGTTGTCAAGAACATGCTGCTAAGACAAATGTGCATTTAAAAGAAACCCAAACATAATTGTTTTGGGGGCTAGAAAAAGGTTTTAGAATTGTGTCCGTGCATGCTTTGTGGTGAGTGTTAAGTTTCACAAAAAATAAGTGGCATCTCTTTGTTTCTTGCCCCATGGTAGTGATTGTTAAGCAGCCACAGCAGCCTTCCTGCAACCACAGCACAGATCCTCATTAAGGTGACAGGCTGTATCAGAACAGAGCCTTGCTCCATGTTTACCTGCTGTTGTACAGTCTAAAGGCTCCTGCTAGAAGCTGCTGGCTTTTGTCAGTTGGTGTTGTTAAGGGTAACACACTTCAACTTGAAAACCATGTAATTACAGTGCAGTCATCTGGTAAGGAACCCTTTAAAAAACAGAAAAACTGGTTTTAGCTAAGGCTCCACTTAGAGTAGTAGTAGGGGGCAGCGAGCTGCTGTTCCCCCATTCTCTGCATGTGTGTGCACACAAAACAGTTTTTAACGTAAACCAAGTCTGTACATTTGCTCTACTCTCACAAGCTACCACACCCCATAATTAGAAGTTTCCAAAAAACTCCAGTGCACTTTTTTTGTAACTGCTTACTTAGATCAAGTCTGCAAAGTGAGCTTTTCTTTCTGCAATACTCCTGCTCTTAACCTTATTTCCCTATAGGCTTATTTCAGCTGCAGAACTGCCCCATGGCTCCTCCTTGCTATTTCTTTATTCTTTCTAATTTAGTCCAAGGCACTTAGATAAGCCCTGTACTTAAGCTACTGGCCAATGAATTCTGGCAACAGGCACTTTAAAGGTTTGTGTGTGTTGAAATCTTTAACTGCTGTTTAGCTTGGTTCAGCTGTTGCATCACTTTTAGCCACGATTTGCTTTCCAGAGGCTCAAAGTTGGCCTGTGGGACTTAACCAGGCCCCCAAAAGCAGCTGTTCATCTTATACATCCACCTTTGCATCAGCCCTAAGAACAACCAGAAGCACCAGCTATCAGCCATTGACCCTATGTGTAGAAAACAGCCAAAGTCACCGAGTCCCTTAACATTGGTAATACTGCCAACAGAACAATCTTATTTTTTTTAATCCTAAAAGTACTTGTAAGTGTGGTTCCATTGTCTGAACAGATGCAGAGCTGAATATTTGTTCTAGCTTATAATTAACCGTCTTCAAAATACAATTGTTCCTCCACCAAAACAGTATACTCCACGCCCACAATGGCAGGGAGCCGCAGGCAAAATGAAAGCTAACTGGACTAAAGATAATACAGGACAGGCATGGATTGGAGCATCCTGCAGACAGAATGGAAATTTTTTCCAGCAGTAGCCCAAAGTTGTATTTGCAGGCAAGCAATGAAAACAAGCTTGTATTTATGCACCAGGAAGTAGGACAGAGTAGTTCACGAAATGGGTTACATAAGCTTGCCTGAGCAGGATCACACAAGCGCGTGTGCAGGGAAGTCCCTGCTCCCCCCACTGGGAAGGAGCAATAGGCTGTAACAATGAAGGGCTTGTGTTCCAACTTCCTGCTGCTAAATCCAAAATGCAACAAGACTAATTTAACACCCCCCTCTTTTTAGGGGGAAAAAAAAATTAATCCTTGTTGGGATTATGCAAACTCAAAGCAATTTCACATAGCTCCCCTGGCCCCTCTCAAAGTAGAGTGGTATTTTCGACATTAGGACCAACTTGCCTATCATTTGATTTACAGCTGCTTTAGTTTGAATCCCTTCATCCTGGTACCACTAATTCAGACTACTGTTAAATGCACAACCACCCAACAAGAGCCAACTGTTACTTGTTTCTAAGGAAACAGAACCAGAGGTGTACCTCTCCCACTCTGCTCAAGGTCTGTGTTTCTCCAGCCACTCGCCTTGCAGATCCCTACACTCGAAGAGCAAAGGTTCAGAGCAGCATATGGACTAAGCACAATGAATTCAATCTGGAATACAAACCATATCCAGACATTAGACTTCAAGCTGAAGGAAGAATCACATCTGAAGTACTAACAGCACTCCATAGTACTAACCTCCATAGAGACAGCCCATTTTCAACATAGTGAAAGGACTGCACACCTCTCTACCACTGACGAGTGGCCAGACTCTCCCGCCCCTTACCTTACCTTTAAACATTACACTAATTAAAAACAAATCAGAAAATAGGTTAGACTACAAATATTGAGGTAATGAAGCTAAACAAGTCCCAACTGCAGTAAATAATGCAGCTATGCACAGTAACACTGTAGTCTGCAGAGAAAAAAAATAACTTTCTGCAACTCTGAGGACACATCTTCTGCAATTTGCATGGGAGCTGCCAGAAATCCTTCTATCACTTTGCAACCAGATTTAAGGCCCAGATGGTGCTGAACATCCCTGTAAGATGTAACTGCTACAGAAACCTCCCCCGTGAGGCTGAGCCCCAAAAGGCCATGACTATGTCCTGATATTTCACTCCATTGGAAAATTAAAAGCTATAGTCACATTTATCTATGTTATTACCCACAGCAAAATCTACTTCTCTCTCCAGCAAATTGTTAAATGCTCTTGCTTGCCAGAGCTACAAGATCTAGGACAGTGCTTAACCAACAAGCAGTGCAGTCCTGGTAGTGGTTTGGGCTGTCACAAAACGAAGTTCAGAAGCTCAAACCAAACCCGTGCTTGGCACGCACACACTGAACAGCCACTCCAACAATTCTCACAGCACAGTCAGCTGCTGCAGGGCACAGCAGCTCCACCAGCTTATCAGACATCTGCAGTTTTCATTCAGAATACACAGCTACGTACTCTGAGTGCGGATAAAATGTCAACTGAAGCATTGTGGGTATTCATAATCTATTTAATAGTGGGACACCAAAAAGAGTACTACACATTTTTCTAGATCACATTAGATTTTGATTTAAGCAATTGCAACGGATGCAGGAATTTCTCAAAATAGTCTTCTATATTCTACAATCCACAGTTTACTGTATCAGTCTAGTAAGTCATATCGTGATATATTGTTTGTGCTAACTGGTCTGGTAGTCTGAGCTTCAGCAAAGCATCCTTCCCCTCCCCTCCAAAAACAATGACAAAATTCAGCCAAGTAAAAGAAACTTCTGTATGACATTTTAGACTCTTTCATTGACCTAAACACAACGGGAGCTACCAGTTATACACAGCTTATGAATGATTGTTGCATTTTAAGTCTAGAAATTCTCATGCTGATACAATAAAATATTTTATACAGTGATCAATTTTTAATGCTTTATTTATTGATTAAAAGAATATACATTTAACATAAACCATACAACATCAGTCATCAATTCAAACATTCAGCTGGTTTCCTTACATTTTCTGTCAGGAGTTTATTTTTTAATCTGATCACATTTATAAGATAAAATCTCACCACATCTGGCATATACACACACTGTGCCAGTGGATTCACTCTACTGATGTACATATAAAATCCGCATGGTATGTGCTCACTGGAGACAAAACAGCGCACACCTGTCAAAAGGTCATTTTAATATAAGATGGTAAAACCATTTGTAAAACACATATAAACTTTTTCCATAAATAGAATCATATCTGGACATCTGTTGCATAAATTGTGTTTTCCAAAGCTTACAATATAGCAGCCAGGTCTCAGCACTGCTGGGCACCCACGTTGGCCACTTACTTTATTATTGCAGACTGTCCTTTAAACATTAAATGCACAACATTCGTACCACTTAAAACTGGGGTCAGGTGGAAGTCTCACAGAGACCACGTCTGTACCGCGGTTGCCCTGAAACAGTTAAATCGGCTTTTAAAGCCTCTCAGATATAACAAGATTTTAAAACATACTTCATGGAATGTTCTTCATGCATCGTAGCAGCTCATACCTGTGATAGAACAAGCTTTGTATTTGTTTCCTTTCCTTCCTTTACATTCACTATTCACAGTGAAACAGGTGCATGTTTGTTAAGAGTTCTGAGGTTGCTGACTGAGCCACAGCACAGCTGTGTACCACAGGTCGAAATTCGACCTTATATATTACAATCTAGCAGTATCTGGCTGGCCAGAAGCTGGCCTGCCCCTGCCAGCATGTGGGCACTTCTTCGTTTTTAATCTATTCTTTGGCAGCTGACACAGGCGCTGACAGAGAAAATCCAGTGACTTAGTTGCTAGGGATTTCACGACTAATGTTTGTTTGCAGGTGTATACCTTTATACTGAAGCCTTTACTGTTATGCTTCTACCTCATCGGAGTGCACTTTCTTGTTTTTCTCTCTTAAACTTTGGCCCAAAGCTAACTTCTGAGGAACACGACAGAAGATGAGAGTAAACTAGGAGGAGTTTACACAAAGAACCTGAAACACCACGGAGCATGGAGTGAATCTGCAAGTACGGGTATCTGAAAAGCGAGTGTTTCGCAGCACTGCTTGACAGCCAAGGAGAACTGGGATTGGTAGCAGGGCATGCTTCAGAACCAGTATGTGAAATGAAGCAAGGCGAGAGTCTAACGACGAACAGCCCTGGATAGACCTCTCTTCCTTTTAAGCCTATTAAGTAGCATGCTACCAGATTAAGCAAACAATGACAGCATAGAAATCCACTGGGCTATGGATATGGATATCAAAAACAGCTGGCTCCTGAGCACAGAACTCCGATATAATAGCAAAAATAATTCAAAATGCAGTTACTTAATAAAAATAAAGTTAGCCGGCAACCTCAGACAGCCTTTGGCTGCATCTCT